TAGATACAACAAAATCACTTATTTGAAAAATCAAGAGAATGGAAACTTTGATTCAACCAAGCTTGTTTGTTGGACCTATTCAAACTTCGGATTTCTTTGAATTTAACAATATTTGTTGAATTCAAAGAATTGTTTTTCTCTGTGTATATATAAGATAAAAAATACTCGAAAACAATTGCTATATCCAATTCCATCGAACTATCACTCAAAAATCGATACATAGATTTGGGTATTGAAAAAATTGGCCACTAGGACAAAAAAACCCATATCTGGATGTTTTGTTTAACGAGACAGTTTTTTCAAATCGTACCATTCGTACCTACTTTCACGCGAAAATATATATGTTCTTCATCATCAAAGCAAATGGATCTAGACAGTCATGAAAATCTCACGAGAATATGACACCGTTCCAAATTATGTTGTCTCTATCAATGTTATATATATATAAGTCAAGCCAAGCAAACTAATAAAAGCTCTCACAACTTCTACCAGGCGTGGTTGCCTCTTATATATTTCTTTGTTACTTTCATAAAAGTTTTTAGTGTTTTTCTGCTGACCACTTAGGTAATTCAATGATAAAAAGGGATTTTTATATGGCGAGATATCTCTATACTGTAGAGATCTGACGGTATTAGAGAGAATAATGTTAGGGAAGCAGAAAACACAACTTTTATTAGGCTGTATTATTTCTCCAATAACAACCCCATTCTTCACCTTTGACGTTTAGAGAATCGGCCATATGGAGGGTGGTAATATGTTTTATACGACCCTCTCGTTCAAGAGCTCTGTATTGAATACTATGAAATATGCTATTTCGGGAACAAGCATGGAATACAATTGGTCAAAATATATCATATTGTCAAGGGGTTGTTTCAACGAGTTATAGGAAGGGACACGACAATGAAAATATCATTATGAAACATGAATTATTCACATCAGTGATTTCCTGATAGAAGAAATTTGACGACTCTCTATTTTGTTGAAAGAATATCTAGTTTGCATTTTCGCCACCAGGTGGCGTTTCTTCCAACATTCCTACGCTCGCCTCGATGAATTTATAATGACGCTTATACAAGATAATAGTCTTGAATCAATAGAGAAAATTGATCTCGTGATTTCTCTCAGTTTTGGAATTCAGTTATTGGATTTTATTGATATTATTCAACAAAATATTTTGTCAATTCTGAATACAATTTTGTTGATCGAAACTCTGTGAAAAACTGAAAATTTTGTCACTTGAATGAAATAATATGATCATTCCAATCAGCACACTCTGTTCATAAAAGCAGATATTGTACACGGAAAAAAAGTATTTGTTGCATCAACAAATTATTTATGCTTGAGTTATTTTTGTTGGACTGAGCAATTTTTTGTTGAATCAACCAGATACATGATTATTCCAAGGAAGCAGCTTGTTCAAATCAAGAATGTAGGCTAATTGAATCAACAGTATAATATCAATTCCATCAACAAAATATATGGTTTCTTCAAAAACAAATTATGTCGATCCAAAATAATGTCGATGTTGATTCAACTATGAACATTTCGTTGATTTGATCAAATAATGGTAATTTTGATGAGATTATATCTCTGAAACAACATACTAGTTTTCTTATTCCAATGTAGCAATAAACTCGTTTCGAACGGATCATTTGCTTGAATAGAGCAACGAAATATGTAAAATCAATGAAATATTTTGTTCATTCTACATCAACTTAAATTTTCGCCTCTAGATGACGATCATTTCGCCTCGTCTATATGCCTGCCTCGAATTCATTATATACGTGAAGCCTGATTCTTCGTGTTTGAAATATCAGCTGGATAAATCAAACTTATAGGATGATTAGCAATCCGAAATAGTTTTCCATCAGCTAAGGAGAAGTAAAGACTTTAGATCTATGCTGGGAGTCTACTAGTTTTCTAGTTTTGTTTATTCTATTGATGTGAAATTTCAGAAAATCTCCGAATATTGAATTTGGTTCGACAAAACAAATTTGTCGAATGGATATATAGTTTCTCTTGAATCAACAAAATATTTCATTGAATTAACCAAATATTTAATTGAATCAACCAAATATTTTATTGATTCAACCAAATATTTCTTTGAATCAACCAAATATTCCGTTGAATCAACTAAATATTTGATTGAATCAATATCTTGTTATGTTGAGTCAAACAAAATGATTGTTTGAGCCAATTCAATATCTCTTCATAAACAATTCATGGATGTGGTTGATCGAAGAAGATCCAGAGTTCATGCAAGACATATTTACTTGATTCAAACTTCAAATTCGCTCTGAAACAAGATATAGATTTACTCATTGCAAGATTATATTTTGTCGTGCATATATGACACTTTTATTTGCTCCATTCAATTAAATTTTGCTAGATTCAACAATTCCTTTTTTTCCGTGTATTATAGGAACAAAATAGTCATTGTTTATTCAATCAATTCCTACTGTTGATTCGAATCATTATTGAGTTACATCAAATAAATTTCGAATTGAAAACTGACCAAAAACATTTGTTGCTGTGACAAAATATTTGGTCGTGGATATATGACACTCAGATCATATTGAATTTACAAAGATTTTGTAGTTTCAAACAAATTATATTCTCTGTGTACAAAATGGCGAAACACTCAATAGTTATTGCCTGAATTCATCGACATTTATTTCATAATTTGAGGAAATAAGCCAGTACAGTTCAGAAGATGCTCGAAATGATTGCCTTGAACTTCTTGAAATGAGAACAAGATTTGACAGTCGGATACTTGTCAAATCTGTATTATCCAAATATTTGTAGTAATGTGCTGGTGCTCCATCTCGTACAATATCCATATATTATTGTGTTTGTATTCAGGCAACTATGGAATGTTCCGTCATTTTGTAGTAGGTGAAGATAATGACTCCATAATCTATGGTTGTGAAAAGTACCAGTCCATTGAATTTTTTTCCCAAATAGCACCCAGTCGCCATCTTGGAATTTTCAAGTCAATCTCACTTCAAAATATAGTATGCATGCATCAATTCAATTATCCCAAGTTTCAATTTTCTTATTTGACCCTTCCGCAAAATAAAAGGAGGGGTATAGCCTGATGCCTGTTGTATCTAGTTGGCCAATGTTTCATGAAATGTTCAATATTGAGGAGGCGAATAACAAATCAGAATCCAAAGAAAAGCTGAAACACGAAATCAAGAGCATGAAATTTCAACCTATCGTGAACGTGCATATAGAAATGATAAATGAGGATAATCAGGAAAATAATTTATATCATCTACTGTGCAATAGATGTGATGCCAATAACTAGAGATTACCTTGTCAAAAACTCGAATTATCACAAATTTATTAAGTATCATTTTGGGTATAACGTTTGTGAATGATAATGTTCTCATTGACAGGATTGATTAACTGATGAACATTTGATTCCATCGTTATATTAGCATCATCGATATGATCATAGCTAGGTATTTCACTCATCATGAAATTTTGACGTTATCATAATTCAGTATCAAGCCAAAGATAACTGAATATATTGACGTAAAAATTTCACACCCAACATTTTCGACCGATTAATGTATTCTGTATAACTCAACGAATTTCTAGATATTTCTTCCATCCCAACTTTGGTGCCACGTAATAAAGTTAGTGAAGAATAATAGTGTGAACTACCATCAGCTGAAATATCAATATAATGCGTAACTCAAGTTGATATTTTGTATTTTATTCAGCGTATTTTTGTCCTAGTATTTTTTCAATATAATTGCGGAAAAAAAAATGTGTTCCGAAGTAGCGGAGTATTTCTCTGGAAACTAAAATAAATCCGGAAAAGTGAATTTTTCTGCATGTTAATTAAAAGAGATTTTGTCCATATCTCATCAGATTAGAGCTAGAGAGCTTTTCCACACTACGTGAACACCGGGTGTATATGGAATGTTGAAAGCAGCTCACATTTCTGAAAATTCAATACAATCCTCATCTAATTGGGTTGTTCGAGTAAGGCGCATTTCTTGAAGATTCAATTCCCATTCTCGCTAAAATTCATGATTCGATTCCGAATGATATAAGAACAGAACAGAAGCCGGTAATTTAGCGAAACATAATTTAACCTAATTGTGGAAGCTCAATACAGAAGCTGCCTGAGAAACTGGGCATTCAGAACTTTTTTTCAGGGCCTAATTGAATTGGGTGCAAAAAAGAAATGTGAAAGGGTTATATTGGAATGTTGGGATTTAATGAAAAATAAACAATTCGATTACTCACAAGGGTAGAAGCGATTCAAATTGGAATATACGAGTTTTTCTCAAAATGATTGATGGTCTAGAAACAATTTGGAGAAAGGAAATCGGAGATAAAGCGTTTTCAAAATTGATTTCTTAACCAGCTTACCCCACCTTCATTGTTCAAGATATGAAAAAAAGTCCGGGAACAAACTGACGCGAATTTCAATGAACTCTGCATTTCCGTAATTGAAATAGTATCTTGATATGATGATTTTCGAGAAAAATTCAATTTTTAGTTTTATTATAAAGATTGCGCCCCCAAGCGGTCGTTTCATGAACTTGAAAATATTTTCTATCAATTTTTCTTGGCCGATTTAGTTCTGAATTTTCTTTCCTACAACTCCTGAGGTTAATGGTTTCCAAGATATCGTACCTCGCCGACCTTAGTGGGACACCCTGTATATTGAGGTGCCTTTTTTGAGCTAACTGTGTGTTCACTATACAATTATAGTACAGAATAATTGTTTTCCATGCACAACGGTGTTTTACAAAATTTGCTGTCACTTTGGCCGAAAGGCTTCTATTATCCTGAAACCGGCGGTTATTATACCCCTACTTCGACAAAGAACTTAAGAAAATGGCTGTTGTTCAGCTTCATGTTTGAGCACGGGAGCGTTTCGTTGTGAATGAGGAAAATAATGAAGTTGTGCAAACTTTTGGAATTTCCTTCCTATTGTGAATACTAAGCCTACGTTTGTCATTTCGGGTTGATATAACATGCTGGTGAGTTCGGTTATACCGGCATTATCATTTTCCTGCAGATTTTCACAAGAGCACAGATGGTGAATGTATTTTCAATTTCAAGACTAATTATTGTATACAAAATTGGTAACGAGTCCGTGCAAGGAGAACAATGTAACAAGAATCTCTTCTTCGGACCCACGAAAGAGAATCCTCATTACGTTCGAAGAACATCCTGAGTACCCATAGGATGGATATTCACAATAGTACCTACACTACGAATCAGCCACAATGCTTAAAGTTGAATGGAATGTACAATAAATACAAAGAACCCAGAGTCATATCCACACAATGTTCCTAAAATGAACAACGATAGTAGATTTCGAAAGGAAAACAACTTCTTTCCTGGCTAATGACAGGCAGAATATTGAATTACATCCTCCCAAAATCTATGCATCGACTAGTATATACGAATACTGATACAAGTAACAAGTGAATCTCTCCTGAATGCCTGGCTAAATCGAAATCAATAGTCTCTGAATCTGTGCTCTGACCTTATCACTTTTGTTTGGGTGCAAAATTTTTCGAAGTTTATTTTTCTACCAATTAGGTATGTTCACTCACTGTATATCGATTTTTTCAATTAGAGAACCTATTTTGACATTATTTAATACTGCAAAGTCTATGGAAATACATATTTTGTATTTTATTGTATATGTCTTAGGTATGTATCACCAGTGAAACGTTTTTGCTCAAAGATCGATGCCCTCGAAATTCATTTTGCTTATAATATACAGGGTGTTTCAAAAAAACCTAACATCCTTGTTAGGGTGGGTAGAACATTGCGAAATAAGTTGGGTTTGCTCAGTGAAAAAGTTTCGTAACGGCATCCGTTTTCATGATACAAGGTGTTGAAAAAATTATTATTTTACACATTTTTCACGATTATTTCGAAACTACTGGCAACATTGTAATGAAATTTTATATGGATGTTTCTTGAAATCTGACACATCGCGTGAATTTGTTTTTATATATGACTCTCATAGAGGGCGCTAGTTACATGGTTCGTACCGAGTAGTTTTGAACATAACTTTTTTGGGGTCAGATTTTTCAATCCAAATATGATATGAATTTGCACATCATCCAATTTCACACCAAAAAGGTACTGGTGAATCTTGATACTATGTTCTGTTTTCGGAATATTTCGATTTGAAAATAATGGAGTAATAATGATGCTAGTATAAAATGAAGTTTATTGAGTTCAATTACCTATTTATTCAGGTTCAAAAACAATGAAATTATTCTTGTGCTGAAGTTATTGATGGAAAAAAAAATCATAAGTAGAAAATTGAGAGATATTTGACTAGAAACATGAAATATTGAATCAGTTCAGTTCAGAGAAAGTGTTCAAAATTTCCTACGTTTCGAGGAATACACGATTCTATACTCTTTTTTGAAGAATGTATCATTCTTCTGAACAGTTGAGGATCCGCTGTTAGGTCATTCAAGTGATGTGAATTTACCTATCTAGCATAGACTTTCTGCTCAAGATACAACAAAACTGTGTAATCCATGTTCTTAGTCAGATCTGTTTATTATATTGTTGTTTTCGGTTTTCAATAAATAGGTGATAATTTTTCATAATACTAACTCTAATACATAGCTTTCAAATCGAAATATTCAGAAAACGGAACACAGTATCGAGTTTTACCAAGAGTACCTTTTTGGTGTGAAATTGAATGATGTTCACGTTCACATCAAGGATTGAAAAATCTAACCTCAAAAAAGTTATGTTCAAAACTACTCGGTACGAACCGTGTAACTAGCGCCCTCTATGAGAGTCAGATATAAAAACAAATGCATGCGATGTGTCAGATTCCACGAGACATCCATACAAAATTTCATCACAATGGTGCCAGTAGTTTCAACATAATCGTAAAAAATGTGTAAAAGTAATATTGTTTCAACACCTTGTATCTTGAAAACGGATGGCGTTAGGACATTTTTTTACTGAGCAAATCCGACTTATTTTGCAATGTTCTACCTACCCTAGCAAGTAGGTTAGGTTTTTTGGAACACCCTGTATTTCTGCTTGAAGAATACCATATTGTTCACCTCAACAATCCTGATGTTAAAATAATGATCAGCGCTTTCTCCACCAGAGTATGCAGTTTAGCCCTTGAAGAGGGTTCAAAGTCATCCATATGATCAATCCCGCATCATAATAATAATAATAACAATAATAATAATAAGTTTATTCATTCATTCATTATAAATTTACGATAATTTCTATAATACAATGCATCTGTAATGATAAATAAATAAACCAAAGAAGAAGTCACTAAAGGATAGACCTGTGCGTGACATATTATTATGTCTACTCTATAAACTGTTATCGAATGCATTCTGAATATACTTGCACTGAAAATGTTATTTCCCTCCTCAATTATTCACTATAAATCTTCCGGAGAAAATGAATTCCCAAAGTATCCTAGCTGCTTAGAAATTCCAGACACAGACGTATATCTAGGTGATAGATACTCCTAGGAGACAGAGACAAACAATAATAGGAAGTGAATCTACTAAAACTCGACTTCCTATCCTTGCGAAAGCGGAAAGAATAAACTGTAATGATCCATATGGTTACCCATATAGATGGTTTCTCATTTCGACGACATTTGACTTATATATGTATAGTGCGATGCCTAGACGCGAGTAATGTGCACAAGACATGGAATTTTAATTTGGAATTCTTGAATATATTCGTATATCATATAGCCTCTCAACAAGGAAATAAACCTCGAAACTATTCCACCTGCGATGTATATCTCAACATTTTTCTTCTTGCATCCCAACAACTAGTAGTGATAGCAGGAACTATGTCATAAATACGTGATTACTACGTAGTAACAACCAAGTTGCGGAATGAATTACGGGTAAATATAACGGTTTGTTGACGAAGCTGGAACCCACATAATAACGTGATGCTTACGTCCTGTCACCGTCGTAACGTAAGGATGAAGTAAAGTTTATTTAATGACTATCTCTTTCCGTATCTCTTCATGAAACAGTTATTCACCTAACAAGTGAAGAAAAGTGATTTTTCCGCACGATATTTTCATTATTGAAAATGGGGATATTTAGGACTTACTGAATGATTTATGTAACAATTCTGTCTTATGAGTAATTTAGTAGCATTATTATAAAATCTTGTTCAATTAAAACCATTTTTTTTTTTCATAAAGATTATGGACAAAACACTCGTAGGTAAAACAATGTACACAAAAATATATCCATGCATCAATGAATGCAAACTGGAACACGCGAAATAACTGATAATATAATAATAAATTGATATTCGTTTTAAAAAAAAATATGAAACAACCAATTCATCTCCAAAGGTGATAAATTTTGTCTGAAAATTCAATGACACATTAACAATTTCACAGCTTCTTTCAACGATTATTTCACTCATCACATGATCTGATCAATCACAAGCCATAGACAGCTTGTATTATCGCGAAAACACTAGTTTTCTTTCAATTCTGATTGATCTATCAGCGTTGGTGTTTTCAACAATGTAACTATGGATAGTCACAGCAAAGTCTGTCGGTTTGGTATTGAATAATCATAGCTGTAGTTGGAAGAATGAACGTGAAATAGTATAGCAAGATACCACTCTGTTCTGAATATCTTTCCATTATTCTATCTTTCATCTTCAACTCAATTGTGTAGCCGTACCAATACCAGTCGTGATGTCGTGGTGATATTACTTATGAAAATGTGGTTTCATTTCATTTGGTATATAAGGTGACTGAAACCATAGTTCTTCACTCAGAAGTGAAATCTAGTTATAGAGGGAATGAGTAAGGTAGCAATCGAGAATATTTCGAACCAAATACGACCAAAAGTGTCAGTAGGTGATGACTAGAGTAGTGACAACGTCGTAGAAAATTCGGCACTTACTACAATATATATATAACCGTAAAATTTTCATAGGGAAGTAAGCGTTACCACGAAAGTGTATTCAAAGTTGCGAATACCTATGAATGATTTTAAGAAGTAGTGCTTGCGAATCGTCACTTTGTAAAAAACATGAACTTTGCATATTTCTCGTCTCGTGCTACATAATGAATACTTATCGAGTGACTGCATAAAATAATTCAATTTGACTGATGATACCTTTTTTTTGTCATCAAATATACAATTATTCTCACCCTATTAGAGTAATTCAATATTACTGTTCACAGAAACGTTTCAATAGCTAATTGAAATCATCAAGTCAATAATTTAGGCATTCTATGCGGAATCATGTTATGAAAACAGATAGTTATCATAAATTGAATGGAATCATTAATAATGAAATAATATGATTACAATAATCACGCGAATTTCCATATTTCACATACTTGTTACACGATTTTCATTTCAGTATATTATGCGTTCATTCAGTGAACGGATTATCCTCTCAGTTCTATCAGAAACTCCACATATAATGACGAGAAAAATGCACTCAATTCCAGAATGAATGTTTTTATGCCACAAATTTATTCCTAGATGAAGATACGTGAAAAGAACCAAATTATGTATGCAATGAAGAAAATCTTACAAGAAGATGTCGAACTATTCATGAATCAGTTCCGAATTGGAAATTTTCTTCTCAACACACCTTTGATTCTTCGCAACAAAAATTCAACCCGGAAGATGATTTACGAAGTGATTTTCGTTTCAGTTTGGCTCGTACTGATGCTTATCATACTGTACATGACTGCTCTCAAGTACTACATATCAAAGAAGAAACATATCTACGATTTCACTTCAATGGCTTTGGAGATTATGATTCTTGCTTCGGAAATTTTCTACATATCTGTTTGTATAGTTTCTCTGAAAAAAGTAGAGAGCTGGGAACAATTCTTTGATGATATAATCCATATAGACAATAACCTAGGTCACTACGAGAAACTGTCAGAATCTTTCTCGATGAAACTACATTATATCAAATTAGTCTTCTTTATTGGAGTATTCATCACAGTTTACAGTAATGATATCTATCTCTGGAAATCATTGGCGCAGTATCAGATCGAATATGATTTCATGTTTCATTCCTTTTTGTACTACTTCCAAATCTACGATGGAATTCTCATCATCAATTCATCAGAGATGTTGAGAAGAAGGTATGATTGTTTCGAAAAATTGGTGAAGAAAATGGTGAGACGGAAGACAAGCCCATCCATTCAGTTGATAACAAGGATAATGAAGTCTGAAAATCTGACGATCCAGAACGTTATTGGGTTGTATAAAGTTATGTACGATGTTATCCAGAAATTCAACAATATTTATGGATGGAGACTTTTTTCAATTTTTGCCTGTTGGACGCTTCAGCTATTGGGAAATATATACTTCGTACTGTTCCTTGCGGCGAAGCTGGAATTCTACTTTCCACTGGTGATGCTGAGTAATATCAGTTATCCAATTATTTTCTTGGTGAGTCCGATTTTTCATAGAAATACGAGAATTCGTCCTATTCCAGTCTCCAATATCCAGAGGTTAATTCATTATGGTTTCCTGAGAATTTGTCTCTCCCATCCATCTCACGAAATTGGGAATAGTTGCGAAACTATCTTAGAAACGTTGTGCTGGGACTGAGAATGTGTTAAAGACCAACTGCTTTCTGGCAATGGTATGTAATGATTAATCTATATGGACATTTGGGGAATGTCCATCAAGAGAACTAGAGAATTACCTCATATTATGTGTTGAACTACTTGAAGGCATGACGAATATCCTTCAGTTGCAATATAGCACACTCTTAGTCATGTCGAATAACGTAGAATTGTCAGCCATTGAACAGTAGATGGAAGTTATATGTATACTTGTATAGGCATGAATATATTCGGTGAGGGTACATACAGTGCTTTATTCGTAAAGTATTGAATACATTCATATTTAGCGAAACTATATATTTCTGAGTATTTTGGAGCAGGTCAGTTTACATTATCTATTCGCCATGTTTATAATAAAGAATTGAGTATACAGGGTGATCCACGTTTGAGTTATGACGTCCACGAAATTTTTCTCGAATGCAACATTCTATCCTATTGCTCTCGCAAAAGTAGTGGATACATTAATTTTTATGTAAACTTGGCCAAACAATCCATGATTCTTGATTCTCAATTCGTCATATTTGAGAGAGCAGAGAGAGAGAAAGAGAGAAATATACTTTATTGTCTGAAAAAACAGAATTTCTTATTGACAACGCATAGCATTCAAAATTAAATGAAAGTGTATTACATAACATGAACATATGTATACAACTAAATTGATGATAGAGAATGAAGATGAACTCATCAAAAGTGTAAAAGGACAATTAACAGTACTCATTGAAAATCATGTAAAATATTCGCAATAGTATATGTTGTGGTCCTATCACAGTTTCATTGAAAAATTCCTCAATATTATGGGTAGGCTCTTTTCATAAGAGAATATTTCACCAGTTTTTCTGAATTTACTATGATCTTCCATAGTGCTGAGTTCTGTGGGTATATGGTTATGAATCTTTTGACTTTCAAATAACGAAGAACATTTTGTCGAACTAGACTTTCAAAGGGGTAGAGCAATTTTCCTCTCTGGCATTTGTCGGAACACATGATTTGTTTGTACTGAAGTCTCAGCCATATATTTTTTGAGAATCAGAAAAACCGTTCCCAATATAAATGAACTTGTCGGAGTGAGATTTCCTGAACTTGAAAACAGTGGTCTACATGACTCTCGAACACCTACCTTGCCTAAGTCAATCATAGCTCGTTTCTGCAGTACAAACACTGGATGAAAAAGTTGTTGGCTACAATATCCCCGGAAAGCTATTCCATATCTCATATGAGATTGAATCAGATAGTGATAGACCATTCTCGCCGTAGATTAACTCAATTCATTAGTTACAATTCTGAAAGCGTGACATCCAGATGCCAATTTTTCAGTTAGAGCTGCAACATGCTAATCAAATTCAAATTTGTCATCTACAGATATTCCATCGAATTTTGTATATTTTTTGCATTTTAGAATTTTTCCGTTTGACCTAAAATTGTTGCGGTCAAAACTGAAGCCCATTATTTGAGTTTATGTGTACTGCTGGTTTATCCTCTTCCTGGCAGAACCTGCACAGCAGTTCTTCAGTCAGACCTACCGTACCCATTTCTGGCTCAGTAGATATTTTGTAAATGATGGCGATGGTTTTTCAATAAACTCTTTTGCCTGCCTCATTTCTGGCCGCAGTTGTTCCACCATTCTTGAGATTTGGTTTGCATCCATGATTTGATACTTGTCTTTTGTATAGCTTCCGCGATACCACGAGAGGGTTCTGGGCCATTCAGAGCTTTGTTTGCTCCTGCTCAGGCAAGTCAGTCCGTTCTGACTGCCTAGTTCATCCAGGGGTTTCTGAGCAGTCCCACACTAGCATTGAGTTAACTCTCATTGAGTTAACTGCTCTGATTGCCTCCTGGCTATACGAATAGATTGCAATGGTTTTCCCTTATTTGAACTCTTGCCTTATCAATTCTTCTACGCAATGAAATATTTTAAGTTTCTGCATGAAACACCATCGCGTATTGGCCTAAGCTCAGTGAGATTCTTGTCTTTGGCTTGGCCTCAAAAATACCACCTCCTGAACTTTGCTCGGTTTTGGTGCCAGCAATGTCTGCATTGATAGGGGGTCCATCCTTTCATGCTTCTCTGCCCGTAATACTTTTTTGAAACACGAAAAAAAAAAGGAATTGTTGAATCAAGCAAAAATTTGATTGCCTGAAGCAAATATAAGTGTCATATATCCATGACAAATAGAATTCTTGAAATGAGTAAATCTATATCTTGTTTCATAGCGAATTGTGAGTTTGAATCAAGTGAATATGTCTTGCATGAACTCTGAACCTCATTCAGTCAAGCACATCCATGAATTGTTCATGAATATATATTGAATTGGCTCAAACGCTCATTTTGTTTGAATGAAAATAACAAGATATTGATTCAATCGAATATTCAGTTGATTCAATGAAAAATTTGGTTGATTCAATGAAATATTTATTGGTGGATTCAATGAAATGTTTGGTGATTAAGATGAAATATTTTGTTGATCCTGAGAAATATTTCGTTGATTCAAGAGGAACTGTATTTCCATTCGACAAATTGTTTTCTTGAACCCAATTCAGTATTGATTCCGGAAATTTTCAGAGATTTCACATCATAGAATAACCAAAACTACTGAAAACTAGTCGACTCCTAGCATATAGATTCCCAGTGTCTACTTTTCTTCAGCTGATGCAAGGCTATTTTGGCTTGATGAGCATCCTAAGTTAGATTTATCCAGCTGATAGTTCAAACTAGAAAAATCAGGATTCTCGTATATAATGAATTCGAGGCAGGCATAGACGAGGCGAAAAGATCGCCATATTTCATCGATATTGCATATTCCGTTGCTCCATTCAAGCAAATGATCCGTTCGAAATGAGTTCATTGCTACCTCGGAATAAGAATAAGATCATTATTTCATCCAATCAACAAAATGTTTATAATCAAATCAACATCGACCTTATATTTTGGCGACATAATTTGTTTTTGAGATAACCATTTATTTTTTTGACGGATGCGACATTATAATGTTGAACCAAACAGAATTTCTGATCTGAACAAGCTGCTTTCATGAAATAGTCATGTATCTGTTTGATTCAACAAAAAAATTGCTTAGTCCAACGAAAATAATACAATCATAAATAATTTTTCCATATATGATATTAGTGTAATAGATGACGTAGTCAGATATTGTATTGAATCAAATAGTCATGAGGAGTAATTGAATCATCTTTTTAGGTGTTTACTACGATGATCGTGATGGCGTGCGAGGAGCTGAAAAGAAGCGGGGAACGAGTCACTACTACTTGTTACATTCTCATAACAGAACTGGAGAAATCCACTTTCAGAGAAGATCTATCAGAGTTGGCTGAACTCACCAACAAGCTTACTCCCAAGGTCATAGCTTCTGGTTTCTACGAAGTTAACCAGTCGTTATTACCAACATTATTTTCAGCTTTCGTAACTTATCTGATCATATGTATTCAGTTCAATAAAACTACTTTCACTTGAGGATAATTAATGATGATTCATAGTCAAAAGTCAAATAGTCATTTCTCCTAGAACAGAATTTCATTTCAGTAGCATTATTGGGAATGTGCGAATGTGATGTAATGTGAAAAATTGAACGACTACCTCAGAACTGCTATTGGGTTATTGGCCGTATACAGTGTGTCCCATTTACTATGCTCACCATGGGTATCTTTTTAACGGTGAGAGATACGAGGTCGGTTAAATGACACCAAATGTAGAGTTTGTCAAGGCCAACTATAATGTGAAAAAATATTTCGATAAAATCTATTCATTTTTGTTTCATACGCAAAAAACAGATTTTGATGATTTTCATGTCTCCTCCGTTACTTCTTTATTTATGAATTATAGGAATTTATAGGAATTTCACATTCTCATGGCAGTTTTTCAAATTGATTTCGAAGAAAATATGAAATTTATACCAACTTTTCTAGAATTTGAGATATCAGCACCAACTTTAGATTTTCAAATGTAGGTCATAGCTCACTATGACTCAGTTACAAATAACTTTTTTGCCTCTTACAGATGATATGTCGCAGTAATAGTTTTGTGTTGATAACAACAGAGTTATCGTCATTTTAATACCAAAACAAAAAATTATTCGGGAGCCATCTTGAATTTATGAATTTTAACAATGAAATCGTGATCTCCGACCTCAAAAACCCCCACTTACCAATTTTGAATGGAATCGGACCAAATCTTGTCCGCCATCTTGGAGCAGCCATTTTTTTTAATTTCAACAAAAATTCCATAATGTATTGTCACCAAAATAAGGAACACCTGCCAAATTTCAAGATAATCGGAGTAATGGAATTTTTGATTTGGTCCGATTCCATTCAAAATTGGTAAGTGGGGGTTTTTGAAGTCGGAGATCATGATTTTTTTGTTACAATTTATGATTTCAAGATGGCGGCTTCGAAATAATTTTTTGTTTTTGTATAAATGACGATAACTCCGTTGTTATCAACACAAAACTATTACTGCGACATATCATCTGTGAGAGAAAAAAAGTTATTTGTAACTAAGTACCTAATAGTCAGCTATGACCTACATTTGAAAAACTGAAGTTGGTGCTGATATCTCAAATTCTAGAAGAGTTTGTATAAATTTCATATTTTTTTCGAAATCACTTTGAAAAACTGCCATTAGAATGTGAAATTCCTATTTGTATATTTTCATAAATAAAGAAGTTACGGAGGAGACATGAAAATTATCAAAATCTGTTTTTTGTCTATAAAACAAAAACGAATAGATTTCATCGAAATATTTTTTCACATTATAGTTGGCCTTGACAAACTCCACATTTGGTGTCATTTAACCGACCTCGTATCTCTCACCGTTAAAAAGATACCCATGGTGAGCATGGTAAGTGGGACACACTGTATATGTATTTATATTAGACGTTATCACCAGAATATAAACTTTTCATAACTCTTTCCATAGTCTTGACTGCGATGAAAGCTTTACTGTTGCTCTCCTGGCTGCTTCTAAATCGTCTTCATTCATCATTGGCAGGAAAAAAATTAGCACAAAATATGGAACAAAAATATTCAACCTAAAACTTATACTCATCTATAATGATGAAAAGGTGAAGTATCAGCAAATAATATATTACACATACCGAGATGAAAAGATTTTCATTTATGTCGTGAGATTAGTCAGTTAGTTATGATATCGGGACGGGAAACTTCCTACCGAAGTTTGTATACTATTTTATTTACAACTATCATATTTCGATAAAAATTATTGAATATCTGTTTCGTCCTGAACCATCTCAGTTCTGAACATACCCAAAATATTATATTCAACGGCAAATTACCAGAAGTTTGGAATATGACTCTGCTCCTGAAGATGGTGGATTATCATAAATAGCCCTGGAAATGGTGTGATAATATTGTCTTCGAAACGTTATTTTCTCAGGTATGTATACCCACAATATCCATCTCATACTGAATTAAAAAATGAAGTAAGGTCGTGCAGTAATGTAATGTACTCAGCAAATTTTATCCAAAACCAAATCGGGATCTACTCAGCTCGAAACTCAAACTCAAACTGTGTGAGTCACTTATCATCTCTAAAGTCTCATACTGTGATAGTATTTATGGACCTGCCTTGCGGCAATCTGACTCTTTGCGCCTGCAACGCATCCAAAATACTTGTTTACGGTTTTCTTTCGGTGTCCGAAAATATGACCACATCTCATCAGCAATGCAGGAATCAGGTTGGCTCAAGCTTGAGAAACTGAGAACTCTGCACCTGTTGATCATCACCCATAATGTACTGACGACAAACAATTCATTATCGATCATTTGGAAGGATTTGTCGTTATAATGGTTAAACCCTGCTATCCTTTCTTATTTACGCTCGAAATTCAGAAACTATATAGCAATTTTTTTCCATCTCTTGGAGCGCACAAATGGAAACTCCTATGATATTCGAAAAATATCGTCGTACTCTTTGAGGTTATAAGTTCTTGGGAATACTTCCATAGGCAAAAAATTAGGCGAGAACAAGTTGTTCCGATGGAAATCGATTAAATAACAAAGAAATGTCTTCCTGTACCGCCACTGCGACTATCTGAATTTCAAATAGCAGTTTAACACAAGAGAACCACATTGTGTCAAAAGCACATCGTATTTATTACCCGGATCTTTCGTGGTTTCATGAAAACTGTTCCAGATTTTTTATTTTCTCGTTCTCTGACTAGTAGGCGGTAAGCGGCGAATAGACTATAATTCAGTTTTCCCAGACATTTCCAGAAGGGAATTTACGGTTCGGTCAGATAATGGAATTATGGATACATTGTGATATTACGAAAAACTGAAAACAGCTAATACCTTTTGATGAAATTCTAGTGGAATTTCATCAAATGTCCTGCACACATGATTTCACTAAATTGAAACATATAAAGATGATCGATCTGTATATATATCCAAAAAATATGAGAGAATTCAGTTAAATTGTGAATGGATCAATTGATAAATAAATATTAGATTGTTATTCGGAGAGACACATTTTTTTTTCAATCGAGAAATCTAAAATACATGACTTCTAATATGGGCGCTGGTAGACATCTATCAATATATCATCAATGCTTCTTCATTTACATTCCTGGTATATATATAGAATAACTTCCCATATTCTCTTTGGATCTCATAGGGCGCACGATAGGATCCCCATAATGTTCGGAAAACATCGTGCTTACCTCAGGGAAAGGAGATAGGTATTGGCATTTTTGTCAACTTTTGAAGATAATAAGTTCTTCAGAATACTCCGTTTTTTTGAAGAATTTTGGAGTTTCAACTACTAAATAGTCACACAATGGTCGAATGCATGAAATGGTGAATAAATACATATAGAGCTCGAAGTCATTTCCACACAATGTTAATTTAAAATGGACAACAGTGGTGGAGAGAAACAAACACTTTCCTGCCTAATGCCACGCAGAACATTGAAATACATCCTCACGAAACTTGTGCATCGACTCGTATGAACGAATACTGATACAAGTGGTTCTCTCCAGAATGCCTATTGATCTCGATTTAGCCAGGCAACGCTAGACACCTACAGATCGGTTTCGAGCTCTTTGACTCTCAACAGATTTGCCGTTCTATAGACAAACGAGTTCTGGTAACGAGTTGTTTGACATATCTCAAGGTTGACGGCGAGAGAATGTGCTAACTGTGGTGTTCGAGTTTGTCTGACTGATATTGCTAGTTATGGAATGATATCAGTGATTCCTGAAGAATCAACATCTCTCGAACACACTACTAAACCACTAAACAAAAATACGAGATATTATGATGATACACCAAATATCTGTAAACAAATGAAGCCCCTAAAGTATGTCCTTATATGATTGAGAAGCACTTTTCAATCTCCAAACAGGTGCCCTTCAGATTAGGAAATGTCTCAGTATCTTTCACCTCCACATATCGCATGTCATTTTTGTCATGAACGTATATTCTGCAACTATCCATCTCACTCTATCCTATCTATCGAATGGCTCGACCTCTGGTCATCTGGTTGCCTGAGCAGTAGTCAGTACATCGATTCTTCATATCGTTTAGCTATTAACGAACATTTCTGGGAACATTATTTATTTCCGTGAAGCCTTTGGTGCCGTTGCAATCAGAGGAAATACTTTATTCTCTCGGTATGAATAACTACGAAGAAAAACTCGACAGCTGTCCACAATAAGGTCACATTTTCCCTAGCACACAGCACTTTACCACTCGAAAAGGAATTATTTTATGAGTTTCTTCCCAACACGTTTTTCCTCTCAAGCAAAGCGCAGAGAAAGGCTATGAAAAATCGCGTCGGCCAGCACATCCTATTTCATCAAAACTTTATGTTCAAGTTTGTACTTCCGCTGGGAATGAATTTATGAATTTGATACTGTGAAGTATATGTCTATGACACTTTCCCTTCCTTTTTTTCCATGAGAAATGGAGTGTCGGTTGCGACTCGCATGTTCTTTCTGATGGATATTTTCAAAAGCGATAGCTTTTTTGTGATCAGGTTGATGATGCTTCGAATCAGAATTATGTAATGGTTTTTCAGGATTATGCTGGATACTACTCGATGGATAGTTCACCTTCAACAATGAACATTCCTTCTTCTCTTGATCTCTTCGTTTTTATTGAAATATACATTTAGTCCCAAAAAAAATGACGCACTTGATATTTGACCCATCTTCTTAAAGAAAAAATTGTAGGCGGACTTTTTTTTTTTTTCATTTGATGGTAGATGCATTTGTCTTTAAAAAGAAAAATTGAGAGGTGAAAATTGTGGTGGTGGCATAACTCGAACCATGATCTATTCTTAATTTTTGACTCACCCTGTCTGTTAATTTAGTGATGGTATACAAAGTGCTTATACCCTATACGGAAGAAACTTCTTCTGCGAGCATTTTGTTCTTTTATTTATTGATTTATCTCCGAATTACAGCTTTTTTGCTGATACCTCACGCTTATCCCACG